AGGCTCTAGAGAGAAAGATGGAAGCAGGAAGGGGAGTGAGCAATGGGTTCTAGACTTGAGCTGGATCTAAGGTCGAAGGAAGATGGGGCTTGGGGGAGAGCCGCCTTCCTCATGCACTGGTGCTAAGAGGATTGCATACAAGGAAGGGAGGGCTTCTGCGAATAACCAGAGCTGGCCTGTCAGACCTGCTCTCGGTGGGGTCACCAGCTCCTCTGGCCACCCCAGGGCCCTTGCTGGCTTAGCTCTCTGGACCACACCCCATGGATCATCCTGTAGGTGGCAGGCAGAGACTGGGGCAACTGTAGATTCATGACATATGGTGGCTCCGGGAGTTTCTTGGAACCCCTTGCTCGGGGACTCTTAGCATACGGAGTCTCAGGCACGAAAGGGCCTGGTGGGCTGGGCCTGGCGGGCTGGGTGGAGTTGTTCAGGCTGCTTCTCCCTCCTCTCCCTGGGGAGGGGAATTTGCATGGTCATAAGAGACCAGACTTGGGCACCTCAATTCCACAACTTCCTAGGCTGGTCCCCTGGACAAGTGAGCCCACCTCTCTGAACCTAAGTGTTTGCATCTGTAGAATGGGGGAATAAAATTAACTCCTTCCACATGGGTGAAGAGGAAATGAAATCACCGATATAAAGTATTAAGCCAAAGACCTTGAACCCAGTCAGGGCTTCTTAAGTGCCGGCTGCCCTCATCATTGCTGGAGGGAGGTGTCCACCTGCAGATTCTGTCACTGCCCCCCCCCATCCTGCATCTCCAAGGCTAGGGGTGACAGGGGCCACAGCACTCCCAGAAGAGCTTTCTGTTCCCCGGAGCAGATGTACTGGATGGAAGCAGCCCTGGCAGGGTTGGTCCTAGCCCTGACTCGTCCTCTTGCCAGGATGTCACCAATCTCAGTCTGCCAAGCTTCAGTTTCTTCACCAGGACAACAATCACAGTCCGCTCCCCTGCCTCCGTCACACAGATTGTAACAGAACTCAACTGAGGCAGTCGATCGCTGGGCTTCAGTAGACAGACGCCGCAGGCGCCCAGCCCTGTGTTCGAATCCCAGCTCTGACCTCCTCTCATTTTGTGACCTGGAAAATGTCACTGATCTAAGGCTTGGGGGCATTCGAATGGGTTAGCGCTGGCTCCTACCTCAGAAGAGGGATAAAATGGGACCAAGGATATAAAGTGTGCAGCTCTATGCCAGGGACTTGGAAGGGCTCAGTTAAAAATAGCAATTATTATTATCGCCACTGGTCTCAAGATTTTGGAAAGTACAGAGAGAGCTATACATTGAAAGGTTCTTAGCTCAGTCTCTATGAGATACATAAGAGGAAAGTTCTACCCTCACCTTGAGGCCCTCTGAGTCCCCCGATGCCCCCTGCCTCAGATGGCTCTTCCAGAGCTCACTTCTGCTACTTGGAGCCATGAGGGGGACAGCATGGTGAGGGGCTGGGAGTCTGGAATTCTGAGTTCCAGTACAGCTTCCACTGCTCTCTGCCTGTGTGACCCTAGGCAAAGGCATGCAGGCTCTACCCTAAGGACCCATCGGCCTCTGACATTCACTGACTCCTTCCTCACAACAGCCAGTGGCCAAGGAGGGAGGGTGTGGCTCCCTCTCGGGTTCAGGGTCAGGGTCACTGCTCTGTGTGGAATCTGGGCTCTGCCGTCCAGAACTGCCTCTCCTGATGCCTGGAATTCCACCATTCATGACTCATGCCTTTGGGAAATCAGTGACCTCAACCCACTGTGTAATAACAATAACAGTCCCTCACGGCTTTTCTTTGCTGATACTCCTGGGTCGCTGCTGTGATGTAGGCAGTGAAAGTGAGGCTCGGGGCAGAAAGCGAGGTGCCCGAAGCTACACAGCAAGTTAGTGGTCGAGTCTGGCCTCCTGTCTCCTGGCTTCTTCGTCAGTGCTGTTTCCCTTTCAACAACTCTCTTTAAAAATGCTGCCCCTGACATTTGTGCAGCCATGTTCACAGCAGAACCATTCACGACAGCCAAAAGGTGTGAGCAAACTTAAGCATCTATCGACAGATGAATGGGTCAGCAAAATGTGGTTTATACACGCAATAGAATATCATTCAGCCTTTAAAAAGAACATCCTAACACAGGCTACAGCAAGGAAAAGATTATAGGACACTATGTTGAGCAAAATAAGCCAGTCACAGAAGGACCAATATTGTATGATTCCACTCATGAGGTCCCTAGAGCAGTCAGATTCATAGAGACAGAAGGTAGAAGGGTGGTTGCCAGGGGCCAGGGGAAGGGGAATGGGGAGTTAGTGTTTAATGGGTACAGAGTTTCAATGTCACAAGATGAAAGTTATAGAGATGGATGGTGGTGACGGTAGCACAACAATGTGAATGTACTTAATGCCACTAAACTGTACACTTAAAAATGGTCAAGATGGCAAATTTATGTTATACATATTGTGCCGAAATTTTAAAATAAAAAAAAAATTGCTGCTTCTAAGAGGAAGATGGTAAGTCCTAACATTTTGAAGGACATGTCATTTAGTTTACCATGATTTGTATCAGTCAGATAGTCTAGGTCATGCTGCTGTAACAAAGAACCCTCAAATCTGACTACTGAGTCAAGCACTTAACCACTGCTCCATACTGCCTCTCACACAAAACCCTGTAGCCCCTGGAACCTTCTTCCTTGCTGTCGTAAACCTCTCCCTCGTCTGTCTGTACTGCAGGCCCAGGATAAGGCAATGGAATCAGTCAGATTCGCCCTTGACTGGCTGTGTGGCTATGGGCAAGCCAGCTAACCTCTCTGAGCCTCAATTTACTTATCTTGGAAATGGGGCAATAACAGAACCTCGAGGGGAGAATTCAAGGAGCATGGAAAGCATTTACCATGGCCTCAGGCATGCTGTCAGCCTGTGGGGATATTTAAGCCTCAGGCAGAGTTTGACCCTCAAGTTCAACAATCCCATGAGAAACACCTTCTTCCTGCCAGCCTTGAGTCAGGGACAGGGAATGGGTGGGATGGGAGCCAGAGGCTGTAGAGACAGTTGTCTCGAGCCTGAAATACTTTTCTCCCCAATAATCTGTTTTCAATCTCTCATTTCTTTTTTTTTTTTTTCTCCTTTTTTAAACTCATCCTGCCAAAAAACAAGCATGCAAGTGTGCGCCAGCTCCCAGCCCAGTCAACATCCCACCCTTTGGGAATTTCTGCTTTAAATGCAGGGGTGCGGGACCCTTCAATAAACCACATGCATTTCAACCTCCACACCTTTGCACGGGCTGGTTCTCCTCCCTGCCACTTGGTACCCTATGCCCTGGATCTATTCCCAGCCTGTTCATCATCTCTCAAGGCTCGGCCACAGGGCCCTCTCCTGCAGCAGCCCCTCTATTCTCTGTCTCTCCCGTGTTCACAAGACCCCTACAATTTCCCCAGGTCTGGACGCATTTTGAACTCTTGTGTCCTTATTTACCCTCTTTGAGGGCAGGGACAGTGTCATCCACTTCTCTGCCAAGTCTGAGGCTTTCATGAATCAGAGAGCCCTCATGACCACCATATCAGTGGGAGATGATGATTATTATCCCCATTTTACAGATGAGAAAATGGAGGTTCTGAGAGCAAAGGTGAGTGGTCACACCGCTGGGGAGTCGGGACCCCTCTCCCCGAGCTCCCTGCCTTCACTAAGCCTCCCTGCTGGAGGCTTAACGTGCATCAGCAGGGAATGGGCGAGTGTGGCAGTGGCCTGCAAGCTCTTCTCTGAACTGTTTCCTCCTCTTCCCGGACACAGAGCTGGTCTACATCTCCCAGCCTCCCTTGCAAGGGAAGCAAGGCCTTTTTGGTAGACTTTCCACGCCTCTTTGTGTTACAGAGTCCAAGCTCACTCTGCTCGCCTCACGGCAGGCCAATGAATCAGAGACAAGGTGTTGAGTCAGGGAATACGACTTTATTCGGAAAGCCGGCAGACCAAGAAGATGGCAGACTAGTGTCTCTGATGAACCATCTTATCTAGGTCTGGAGGCCAGTTTCTACTACAGAATCAGAGAGGGAGAGGTGGTGAGGGAGTAAAAGGGCCATCAGTCTTGCAAAACTTTCCCCGAAATGACCAGCCGAGATGAGGGGATGTGTTGGTTTCTTTTTTCTTGCAGCCACTCACAGGTGCACAGGGTTCCCTGAGGCAGGCCATTATGTATGACTATAATAACAAAAGCAACGAAAAGCAAAGGTCAAAGTCAAAGAAACAGATCCACCGTGGGGTCTGATTTAGCTCTTCTCTGTTACATTTGCAGTGGGACTTTGTCCTGGCTCCCCCCCTTTCAAGAGGTGGATTCTGTTTCCCTCAAATAAGGTTTGGCCTTGGGTCTCTCCCTAGTCAATAGAATGTGGTGGAAGCAACCTGGTGCTAGTTCTGGGTGCGGCTTCTAGAAGCCCTGCAGCTTCTCTCCGTCCCTGTCTCTGTTTCTCTCTGCTTCCTCTGCCAGCCTCAGGAGAATGGGAGGGCACGTGGAGCGGAGCCACGTTGTCTCAGACAGCTTTTAGATGACAGGTCTACTGTCTTTCATCTACTGCTTTAAGTCACAGACATGGTCTCCACTCAAATTTTAAATGTCCAGTCAAGATACTCAAGGCAACTCCTAACTTGATTTGGGTTTAGACCTTCTCCCCTCGTTTTTCCCAACAGTGGGGAAGATGGATGGAAGGTGAGGCGGGGTAGGGGTGTGGGTCTTTCTCCCTTTCTCCTCTCCTCCCCCACAGGAGGGGCAAGGGAGATGGCAGCACTGTTGTGGGCTCCATGGAGACAGTCATCTCTGCGGGGCTGCTCCTCTCCTCCTGAGGGTCCCTGTCGCTCCTTGCTCAGCCCTGGGAATCCAGCATTCAATGCCAACCTCTTGCCCCTCTGGGAGGCCCTACAGGACAGGACCCAAGATGACCCCCTGCCAGCCAACCCCGCCCCTCCCATACACACACAGAGCCCCCATTTGATCTAGAAACCCCCGCAGGTCCCCTCGCCAGAAGTCCCACGTCTGTTTCACTGTTGCAGGTCAGAGCCCCTGGGCTGGGAGCTGCAGCCCCTCCTACACAGCAACTCAGCAAGCACCACCTCAACCCCTGCTCCCTTCATCTTCTCTGAGTCCATAGTGGCTGAAGACATGAGGCCGGGGATGGGTCCTGGTCCACTTCCTCTGTAAGTCCTTTGTACGTGTCACTTCTTTCCTATCTCTGTGTCTTCTCCTTAACATTTTGATATATTTAAACATATGGGAACATCGCTGCTACCCTGTTCTCCCCTTGGTTTTTATTACCCATTATATCTTGAATATTCTTTCTCACCTTTCCTTATAGACACCTCACTTTTTAAATTTTTAAGTTGTGGTAAAATGTACATAATATCAACTTTACCTTTTTAACCATTTTTAAGTGTACGGTTCAGTGGTATTAAGTACATCCACGTGGTTGTACAAACATCACCACCATCCATCTCCGAATGCTTTCCATCTTCCAGAACTGAAACCTGTCCCCATTAATCAGCAATTCTCCATCCCACCCTCCTCCCAGCCCCTGGCAACCACCCTTCCGCTTTCTGTCTCTATGAATTTGACTCCTCTAGGTACCTCTTTTAAGTGAATCATAGAGTATTTGTCCTTTTGCGACTGGCTTACTTCACTTAACATAATGTCCTCAAAGTTTATGCATGTCGTAGCATGTGTCAGAATTTCCTTCCTTTTTAGGGCTGAATAGTATTCCATTCTATGTGTATACAACATTTTGTGTATCCATTCATACATCCTCGGGCACTTGGTTTGTTCCCATCTTTTGGCTACTGTGAGTAATGCAGCTATGAATGTGGGTGTACAAATATCTGTTCAAGACCCTGCTTTCAATTCTTTGGGGTATTTACCCAGAAGTGGAATTGCTGGATCAAAGGGTGTATGCATTTCAGGGGAACTTCTTATGGTTTAACATCTATACAAAGCGGAGCACAAATCCTAAGTGTTTAGCTTGGTGAATTTTCGTAGAGTGATCACACTCTTGAAACCAGTGCCAGACCAACTGAAGAGTAGCCCACAGAAAGTAGCCATCATCCTGACTTCCAGCATCACAGATTGGTTTTGCCTCTTTTGAACTTTGTGTAAATGGAATCATACCATATGTACTATTTCTTGTGTGTGGCTTCTTTCTGAGCTTCATCCATGCTGCTGCATGTAGCTGTCCATTCCTTCTCACTTTAGTGCTCCTGGTGAATATACCACAATTTATTTATCCATTCTACCATTGATGGGCATTTTGGCAGTTCCTAGTTTGGGGATATTTCAAAGAGCGCTGCTATGGAAATTACTAGTACAATGCTGTCCACTAAAATATACTGTGATATATTTTATCACACAAAAGAATTGAAAAGAGGAACTTTCAAGCAAGAGATTTTTGCACACAAATGTTTATAGCAGCATTATAACAGCCAAAAGGTGGAAACAACCCCAGTGTCCATCACCTGATGTTTATTTATCCAAACAAAACATGGCACATAAATACAATGGTATATCATTCAGCCTTAAAAAGGAATGAGGGCTTCCCTGGTGGTGCAGTGGTTGAGAGTCCGCCTGCCGATGCAGGGGACACGGGTTCGTGCCCCGGTTGGGGAGGATCCCATGTGCCGCGGAGCGGCTGGGCCCGTGAGCCATTGCCGCTGAGCCTGCGCGTCTGGAGCCTGTGCTCCGCAACGGGAGAGGCCACAACAGTGAGAGGCCCACATACTGCAAAAAAAAAAAAAAAAAAAAAAGGAATGAAATTCTGACACAGACTACAACATGGATAAAACTTGAAGCCATTATGTTGAGTGAAGTTAGCCAGTCACGAAAGGACAAGTATTGTAGGATCCTGCTTATATGAGATAACCTAGAGTAGTCAAATTCATAGAGATAGAAAGTATTGATAGAATGGCGGTTACCAGGTCTGGGAGGAGGCGGGAATGGGGAGTTATTGTTTAATGGGTGCAGAGTTTCCATTTGGGATGATGAAAAATTTCTCGAGATGGATGGTCGTGATGGTTACACAACAATGTGAATATACTTAATGCCACTGAACTGTACAGTTAAAAATAGTTAAAAGAATAAATTTGAGACATTCACAGAAAGATAGACAAGATGAAAAGGCAGAGGGCCATGTACCAGTTGAAGGAACAAGATAAAACCCCAGAAACACAACTAAATGAAGTGGAGATAGGAAACCTTCCAGAAAAAGAATTCAGAATAATGATAGTGAAGATGATCCAGGACCCAGGAAAAAGAATGGAGGCAAAGATCGAGAAGATGTAAGAAATATTTAACAAAGACCTAGAAGAATTAAAGGAAAAACAAACAGAGATGAATAGTACAATAACTGAAATGAAATATACACTAGAAGGAATCAATAGCAGAATAACTGAGGCAGAAGAACAGATAAGTGACCAGGAAGACAGAATGGTAGAATTCACTGCCGCAGAACAGAATAAAGAAAAAAGAATGAAAAGAAATGAAGACAGACTAAGAGACCTCTGGGGCAACATTAAACACAGCAACATTCACATTATAGGGGTCCCAGAAGGAGAAGAGAGAGAGAAAGGACCCGAGAAAATATTTGAAGAGATTATAGTGGAAAACTTCCCTAACATGGGAAAGGAAATAGCCACCCAAGCCCAGGAAGCGCAGAGAGTCCCATACAGGATAAACCCAAGGAGAAACATGCCAAGACACATAGTAATCAAACTGACAAAAATTAGAGACAAAGAAAAATTACTGAAAGCAACAAGGGAAAAACAACAAATAACATACAAGGGAACTCCCATAAGCTTAACACTGATTTCTCAGCAGAAACTCTACGAGCCAGAAGGGAGTGGCATGACATATTTAAAGTGATGAAAGGGAAGAACCTACAACAAAGATTACTCTACCCGGCAAGGATCTCATTCAGATTCAACAGAGAAATCAAAAGCTTTACAGACAAGCAAAAGCTAAGAGAATTCAGCACCACCAAACCAGCTCTACAACAAATGCTAAAGGAACTTCTCTAAGTGGGAAACACAAGAGAAGAAAAGGACCTACAAAAACAAACCCATAACAATTAAGAAAATAGTAATAGAACATACATATCAATAATTACCTTAAACATGAATGGATTAAATGCTCCAACCAAAAGACACAGGCTCGCTGAATGGATACAAAAACAAGACCCATATATATGCTGTCCACAAGAGACCAACTTCAGACCTAGGGACACATACAGACTGAAAGTGAGGGGATGGAAAAAGATATCCCATGCAAATGGAAATCAGAAGAAAGCTGGAGTAGCAATTCTCATATCAGATAACATAGACTTTAAAATAACGTTACTAGAGACAAAGAAGGACACTACATAATGATCAAGGGATCAATCCAAGAAGAAGATACAATAATTATAAATATATATGCACCCAACATAGGAGCACCTCAATACATAAGGCAACTGCTAACAGCTATAAGAGAGGAAATTGACAGTAACACAATAATAGTGGGGGACTTTAACACCTCACTCACACCAATGGACACATCATCCAAACAGAAAATTAATAAGGAAACACAAGATTTAAAAGACACAGATTTAACTGATATTTATAGGGCATTCCATCCAAAAACATCAGATTACACTTTCTTCTTAAGTTTGCACAGAACATTCTCCTGGATAGATCACATCTTGGGTCGCAAATCAAGCCTCAGTAAATTTAAGAAAAATGAAATCATATCAAGCATCCTTTCTGACCATGGCAAGTTATGAGATTAGAGATCAATTACAGGGAAAAAAACGTAAAAAACACAAGCACATGGAGGCTAAAGAATACGTTACTAAATAACCAAGAAATCACTGAAGAAATCAAAGAGAAAATCAAAAAATACCTAGAGACAAATGACAATGAAAACATGATGATCCAAAACCTATGGGGTGCAGCAAAAGCAGTTCTAAGAGAGAAGTTTATAGCTATACAAGCCTACCTCAAGAAACCAAAAAAATCACAAGTAAACAATCTAACCTTACACCTAAGAACTAGAGAAAGAAGAACAAACAAAACCCAAAGTTAGCAGAAGGAAAGAAATCATAAAGATTAGAGCAGAAATAAATGAAATAGAAGCAAAGAAAACAATAGCAAAGATCAATAAAACTAAAAGCTGGTTCTTTGAGAAGATAAACAAAATCGATAACACATTAGCCAGACTCATCAAGAAAAAGAGGGAGAGGACTCAAATCAATAAAATTAGAAATGAAAAAGGAGAAGTTACAACAGACACCGCAGAAATACAAAGCATCCTAAGAGATGACTGCAAGCAACTCTATGCCAATAAAACGGACAACCTGGAAGAAATGGACAAATTCTTAGAAAGGTATAACCTTCCAAGACTGAACCAAGAAGAAATAGAAAACGTGAACAGACCAATCACAAGTAATGAAATTGAAACTGTGATTAAAAATCTTCCAACAAACAAAGGCCAGGACCAGATGGCTTCACAGGTGAATTCTATCAAACATTTAGAGAAGAGCTAACACCCATCCTTCTCAAACTCTTCCAAAAAATCGCAGAGGAAGGAACACTCCCAAACTCGGTCTATGAGACCACCATCACCCTGATACCAAAACCAGACAAAGAAACTACAAAAAAGAAAATTACAGACCAATATCACTCATGAAAATGGATGGAAAAATACTCAACAAAATACTAGCAAACAGAATCCAACAACACATTAAAAGGATCATACACCATGATAAGTGGGATTTATCCCAGGGATGCAAGGATTCTTCAATATACGCAAATCAATCAGTGTGATACACCATATTAACAAATTGAAGAAGAAAAATCATATGATCATCTCAATAGATGCAGAAAAAGCTTTTGAGAAAATTCAACATCCATTTATGATAAAAACTCTCCAGAAAGTGGGCATAGAGGGAAACTACCTCAACATAATAAAGGCCATATATGACAAACCCACAGCAAACATCATTCTCAATGGTGAAAAACTGAAAGCATTTCCTCTAAGATCAGGAACAAGACAAGGATGTCCACTCTCACCACTATTATTCAACATAGTTTTGGAAGTCCTAGCCATGGCAATCAGAGAAGAAAAAGAAATAAAAGGAATACAAATTGAAAAGAAGAAGTAAAACTATCACTGTTTGCAGATGACGTGATACTACACATAGAGAATCCTAAAGATGCCACCAGAAAACTACTAGAGCTAATCAATGAATTTGGTAAAGTAGCAGGATACAAAATTAATGCACAGAAATCTCTTGCATTCCTGTGCAGTAATGATGAAAAATCTGAAAGAGAAATTAAGGAAACACTCCCATTTACCACTGCAACAAAAAGAATAAAATACCTAGGAATAAAGCTACCTAGTGAGACAAAAGACCTGTATGCAGAAAACTATAAGACACTGATGAAAGAAATTAAAGATGATACAAACAGATGGAGAGATATACCATGTTCTTGGATTGGAAGAATCAATATTGTGAAAATGACTATTCGAATAGTCTGGCGCAGTGGTTGAGAGTCTGCCTGCCAATGCAGGGGACACAGGTTCGTGCCCCGGTCCGGGAAGATCCCACATGCCGCGGAGCGGCTGGGCCTGTGAGTCATGGCCGCTGAGCCTGCGCATCCGGAGCCTGTGCTCCGCAACGGGAGAGGCCACAACAGTGAGAGTGGCCCGCGTACCGCAAAAAAAAAAAAAAAAAAAGGGCAGAAGACCTAAATAGACATTTCTCCAAAGAAGACATACAGATGGCCAAGAAGCACATGAAAAGCTACTCAACATCACTAATTATTAGAGAAATGCAAATCAAAACTACAATGAGGTTATCACCTCACACCAGTTAGAATGGGCATCATCAGAAAATCTACAAACAACAAATGCTGGAGAGGGTGTGGAGAAAAGGGAACCCTCTTGCACTGTTGGTGGGTATGTAAACTGATGCAGCCACTATGGAGAACAGTATGGAGCTTCCTTAAAAAACTAAAAATAGAATTACCATATGACCAGCAATCTCACTCCTGGGCATATACCCAGAGAAAACCATAATTCAAAAAGACACATGCACTCCAGTGTTCATTGCAGCACTATTTACAATAGCCAGGTCATGGAAGCAACCTAAATGCCCATCGACAGACAAATGGATAAAGAAGATGTGGCACATATATACAATGGAATATTACTCAGCCATAAAAAGGAATGAAATTGGGTCATTTGTAGAGATGTGGATGGATCTAGAGACTGTCATACAGAGTGAAGTAAGGCAGAAAGGGAAAAACAAATATCATATATTAACACATATATGTGGAACCTAGAAAAATGGTACAGATCAACAGGTTTGCAGGGCAGAAATAGAGACACAGATGTAGAGAACAAACGTATGGACACCAAGGGGGGAAAGCCACGGGGGGTTGGCGGTGGTGGTGTGATGAATTGGGAGATTGGGATTGACATGTATACACTGATGTGTATAAAATGGATGACTAATAAGAACCTGCTGTATAAAAAAATAAATAAAATTCTAAAATTCAAACAAAAAAGAATAAATTTGATATTGTGTACATTTTACAACAATAAAAATATGAACCACAATTGCAAATCATATATGGAATTTAAAATTTTCTAGCAGACATATTTTAAAAAGTAAAAAGAAACAGGTGGGATTTAAAAAAAATTATTTAATCCACCTATCAAAAATATCATTTTAACACATCATCAATATAAAAAAGTTATTAGGGAGTTATTTTACTTTTTTTTCCACATTAACAAAATCCGGTGTCTATCTTACACTTACAGCACATCTCAGTTCGGACTAGCCGCATTCCAGGAGCTCAATAGCTACATGTGGCTAGTGGCTACCATATTCGATCATGCAGGCCTGGTACAAGTCTTTCAATGAATGCATTTTGTGTTTCTGTTGGATGTATCTGTGTTTTTAATTTTGATAGATGTTACCAGATTCCCTTCCATAGGTGTTAAACCAGGTTTTAATCCCACCAGCAATGTATGAGTGTGTTTCTCCACACCCTCACTTGTATAACTGCCAATCTGATAGATAAAAAGTGCCTGCTCCTTGTGGGTTTAACACAGCTTTCTCTTATTAAGGGTTAAGATCAGCATCTTGTTATATGTTAAAACCATTATGTTTCCTTTTCTGTGACCCATTGGTTCACCTCCTTTGAAGCCTGTGTTTTCTATTTCTCTGCACATTTCTCCATGCTCCCCAGACCCCACCAGAACCTGGGACTAAGTGAGCGCTCAGGGTCAAGTATTTCTGAATCATAAACAGCGATAGCAGGGTTGTTCCCAGCAGGGAGGATTCTGTTGGCCAGAGTCTGGGAAGCAGGGTTCAATCTTTGAGGGCACACCGCCCTCTGTTGGCAAAGCTGAGTTTCTCGGCCTCAGCTTGGACCAGAAGAGGAGGCTGGGCAGCTCTGGGGGGAACCAGGGGCTGTGTCTGGAGCCTGGGTTTGATTGCAATTCTGCTGTGTGGCTTTGGGTAAGTAACTTCGCCTCTCTGGGCTCTCCAACTCTTTATCTGCAAAATAGAAATAATAACCATTCCTCTCACTCACAGGCTTGCTGGAGGAATAATCAGGTGATGGGACATGAAGGAGCTTAAAAGAGGGTGTGGCACAAAACAAGGCTAAGTATATAATAGCTGGGTTTTGTTTGTTTGAATTTATTTTATTTATTTGGCTGCACCAGGTCTTAGTTGCGGCACACAGGATCTTTTTAGTTGTGGCATGCGGACTCTTAGTTGTGGCATGCGGGATCTAGTTTCCTGACCAGGGATCGAACCTGGGCCCCCTGTATTGAGAGTGTGGAGTCTTAACCGCTGGACCACCAGGGAAGTCCCTGGGTTTTTTTGGTTTGTTTTGTTTGGTTGGTAGCTAGAATTCTTGACATTTAGAAAGTCCAGAGATGGGGAGAGAAAGGATGGCCTGGAGCTTAGCAAAGGAGGCAGCAGGTAGAGCTGGATATTCATGGGTCCACCACTGCCTCGCCAGCTTCCAGACCTCAGTCTCCTGTTGTGTGGAATGGCCACCTCACTTCACAGCAAGGACGGGACATGCAGCAATACCTGGGACCCTCATACACATGTGACCCCATTCCTGACCTGGTCAGGGCCCCAGCTTCCCTCCACATTGGGCCGGGCACACACAGTGTTGATCGAATCTAGGCTTAACACCCACCAGGGCATTTGGAATCTCCTGGCCTGGATTCTCCCTCCCAGGGAACTGTAGGGGCCTTCTGGAGACATTTTCCCCGAAAAAGCACCCCAGTGGAGAGTACCCCTATGAGCACATCACCTGAGCACCAGCTCTTTGGTGGTGCTGGGTGAGGACCACTTTATATGAGCCAATCTGCTGTCCTGCCACAGGGCCCTGTCTTCGTATCTGCCATTCAACTCTTGCCTAATTGACAGTTACACTCAAGTCCTTCCTCTGCTCTGAAACCTCCCATGGCTCTCCATCGCCTGATTTCTCGCCCTGACATTCAAGGCCACGCATGGCTTGAGTCGATCTGTCTGTGGAGGGCATGCCTAGGTTGCATGAGAAACACTCACTAACATCCTGCCCTTCCTTTAAGATTGAAGTAAATGCCACTTCATTCATTTATTCCTCTATCATGCATTCATTCATTCATTCAACACAATTTATTAAACACATAATTTATTTATTGATACATCTTTGTCACCTACTAGGTGAAGACATGATTCTAGGCCTGGAGTAGAAAGAGACTGTGGTCTTAACCAATTGTAAGTAAAATGTCTTAATTTTGCAAATTTTCTCAAACATGTGACCACGTAAATGCGTTGCAGAGCCCCTCCAAAGGTCTTGGAGGGGGATGTAACTCCACCTCTGTGTCCAGCCACGTGGGACCGTCTCCTGGTGCAGGAAGCCTTCCTTGACGATGCTCTCTTCCTCCTCTGAGCTCCAAGGTCTTGACTCCTGGCTCCGTCACCAATTAGCTATGTGCCCTTGGAAAGTCATTTTCCCAAGTCTCAGATTATTTATATCAAGTGGTAATAACGACTCCTACCTGGAGAGAGTCGTTGCAGGAATTGCGTTAGATCGGTAAGCCTGCGTTGTGTGGCAGCTATCATTAGCGGCCGCAGGAGCTGCTGACTCCGGCAAGGCTGGCTCCCAGCAACTTGAGGGATCCAGAGGTTTGCTCTCATTGCCCACTAGAGGGCACCAGAAATCACAAACGACATCCGGTCACTGCGCCCTGGCTAAGCAGGTGTCCCGGAGCTCCCTAAGGGGTAAGAGTGAGGGGTTTCCGGGCTCAAAAGAGACCCCCAAGGCCAGCCAGGAGCCTGACAGTTTCCTGTGTTCCTAGGTCTGGCTGCCAGTGGTGGAGGCAGGCTGCATCTGGCCCACAAGGGTCCTCATGCCCAAAGCCCTCATGTCCATCCCTTGCTACATCCCACAGCCCAAGACAGTGTGGGTAAAAGAGCTCTAGTTTCTGGAGCTGGCTCTTCACGTTTCTGTCTCTTGACCTTGGGCAAGTGACTTGACCTCTCTGAGCTTCAGTGTCCTTTTCTATAAAATGGAAATGTTACTGGTCCCAAAGAAGGGAAGAGCCTCTCTGTGGAGAAGGTATGGCCATGATTGTTTGTGTCGCTTTCCCCCAGTAAATATGCTACAGTGTAATTTGCTGTTTCCTGCTGATGACAAATGTAATGTGTTGATTGATCCAAGTGTTGTGTTGAGCGCCTCACCATGAACCTAGCCCTGTGCTGGTTAAGGAGATTGACAAAAATGAAGCCAGGGGTTTTTGTTAGGGGTAGTGGGATTCTGGGTGATAGATTTCTACCACCTCAGCCCTCTTCTATCCTCCAAACTCTCTACAGTGTTGATGCATTGCTTTTACCATGATGGAAAAGGAAGAAAGGGAGGGACACTGACTGGGCACCTACTGTGTACCAGGTGTTTCCACGTCATCCTTCCTCTAAGACAGCAGGCTCCATGCAGACAGGGACCACCCGGCTTGCTCACCGCCATATTCTCCGTGCCTAGCATGATGCCTGGTGCATAGTAAGGTCTCAATAGATAACGTGTTTAATGATCAAGAATGACTTGTGCAGAGTTTACAAAGGAGGAGCTGAGGTTCAGAGAGGTTGTGTGACTTGTCTGAGGTTACACAGCTAATGGGATGCAGGGCCAGGATCCTGAGGAAGTTCTTTCTGCTCAGTGCCTGTTCTTCATCCTTCATCCTCACACCCCTTTGTCCAAAACAGCTTATCTTACAAATACATACTTATGTAGTAGTGGTTAAGCAACAATCCTAAGAAGTAGGTGTTAGAATTTCCCCCATTTTACAGATAGGAAAACTGAGGCACTGGTCCGTTAACCAACTTGCCCAGATCACACAGCCAGTAAATGGTAGAACCAGGATTCTAAGCCAGGCATCCTGTCACTGAAACACTTGCAGGTGACCACTCTGCCATGCTACCTCTTGGAGGGGCTGCTGGGTGTGAATCTTATCTTCTCGATGCCCTGGGGAGCCCTGGAGGACCCGGATCATGCCGTCTTTTGTACAGCCCCTGGAGCCCCTGGCACAGCGTTGGGCATGCTGCAGGCCCTCAGTTCAGGGCCTCTGGCTGGGGGGTTTGTCCATCAGGGGAGGCCCCTTAGCTGCTGTTGCCCCATTTAGAAGTTAGTTGGTGGCCCTGGGTTTCTAGTGCAAGGTCATCTCTACCCTTTGAGCCTAGAGCCACCTGTGCATGCCCCACCCCCTCCTGTACACACCTGCCAGCAGCAGATGGCACTTTGAGGATGGGGGGAGGAGGCAAGAGTTGGACTTTGGCCCCTTTATCTGCACTTCTTTCCCCAGTCTTAGACAGATGTATGTCCAGAAGTGTATGGCCTGTGTGCACATGGGTATAAATATATATATATATATACACACACACACGCACGTGAGCCCACATGTACAGTGCGTTCCCGTGCACATGCCTGTGGATATAAGCAGTCCTGTGTGTGAGTGCATATGTGTATCTGGCTGTGGTATGTGTTCTCCTATCCGAGGGTGCAGATGTAGACTTACGTGTGAGCCCGAGTTTATGTGCAGCTTTGCACATGTATGTGATGTGGAAAGACAGAGCACCAAAGTGGAAGGGCAGCTCGTTGCCTAGTCTCAGTTTCCTCATCTGTAAAATGGGGACAGTAATGGTCCCACACTGGTGGAACAGTGCCAGACACACAAAAGGTACCATAATATTGGCCATCATCATTATTATTATTAATAACCTCCCAGGGGTTGTATGGAGATTCCACAAAATAATAGCTTTGAGGGTCTGGCTCAAGAAATGTTTCTCCCATCATCCTTAGATCAGTTGTCTTTTTCTTCTTTCCCTTGGTTTTATCATCGCAAAGCTAATATAACAATGGTCTAGTTTGGGAAATAGAGGTGGGGAAGGGTGGGGCACCTGTCACCTAGAACCCCATCACCCCCAACACAAGTAGTATTTTCTTTCTTTTTAATTAAGAGTTTTTTTTTTTTTTTAATTTATTTTTGGCTGTGTTGGGTCTTTGTTGCTGTGCACGGGCTTTTTCTAGTTGCGGTGAGTGGGGGCTACTCTTCGTTGCGGTGCATGGGCTTCTCATTGCAGTGGCTTCCTTTGTTGCAGAGCGCAGGCTCTAGGCGCCCGGGCCTCAGGAGTTGTGGCTCTAGGGCTCTGGAGTGCAGGCTCAGTAGTTGTGGCTCGTGGGCTCAACCGCTCCGCAGCACGTGGGATCTTCCCGGACCAGGGCTCGAACCCGTGTCCCCTGCATTGGCAGGTGGACTCCTAACCACTGCGCCACCAGGGAAGCCCAATAGTTTTTTAAAATTAATAGTTGCCGTACAATATTTTATGTTACAAGTGTACAATATAGTGATTCAGAATTTTTGCAGGTTATACTCCATTTATAGTTACTGTAAAATATTGGCTATATTCCCCATATTGTACAATATATCCGTGTAGCTAATTTTATACCTGATAGTTTGTACCTCTTAATCCTCTACCCCTATTTAGTATTTTTATTTCTGCTATTTCTTTCCAGACTTTGTTCATAAGTAAGCTAGCACGAGGCTTGACACTAAGATGGTGCTTTAAGCACATTTGGATGGATTAACAAACATTTTTTTCAGCTTAGATGATTAAACTATTTTCTATCCTGCTTTTGTTCCCTTCTGATGGGCATTTTCTGTGTGACAGCCAGTAATTTATAACTATTAGAGATAATAGAAGAAAATTAGAAACTTCCCAATGCCCCCAAACTGGGAAATAGTCAATTGAGTTATGGAAGAGTCAACATTAAGAAATGTTGTGGGTTAATAACAGACATATAAGATTCTTTTCTTTCTTTGGGACAAGTTAGTGTTTCCATATTAGGAAAGGGGTGTGTCCCAGGATTTATCTATCCCTGGACATGAAGGGGAGGCCATCGAAAAAAATGAGCCTATAGCCAGCCAGAAAATGCAAATCAAAACTGCAGTGAGGTACTTCTACACACCCACTAGGGCGGCTATAATCAACGAGACAGACAATAACAAGTGTTAGGGTGTGGAGAAATGAGAACACTTGTACACTGCTGGTGGGAAAGTAAAATGGTGCAGCTGCTTTGTAAAACAGTCTGGCAGTTCCTCAAAATATTAAAAGTAGAGTTACCATATGACCCAGCAGTTCCACTTCTAGGTCTGTACCCGTGAGAAATGAAAACATATGTCCACTCACAAATGTTCATAGCAGCATTATTCACAAGAGCCAAAAGCTGGAAACAACCTAAATGCCCATCAACTGGTGCATGGACCTATTCAATATGGTCTATTCACACAGTGGACTCTTTTCTGGCAATAAAAAGGAATGAAGAACTGATGTGTGCTGCACTGTGGAGGGACCTTGAAAACATTATGCTCAGTGAAATAGGCCAGACACAAGAGACTTTGTGTGATTTCCATTTTGTATGATTCCATTTATATGAACTGTCCAGAACAGTTCATATAGAGACATAGAGACAGAAAATAAATTGGTGGTTGCCTTGGGCCGGGAGGGGCAGGAAATTAGCAGGGGGAGGGGGGTGCTAGGGAATGACTGCTAATGGGTACAGGGGTTTTGAGGGGAATGATGAGAAAGTTCCAAAATTGTTTGTGATGAATATAGTAAAAGCCATTGAATTCTATAATTTAAATTTATAAATTATATAAATTTATAATTTAACTGGGTAAATTGTATAGCATGGGAATTTTGTCTCAATAAAGCTGTTATAATATACTTTTTAAAAGGATGGAAACCCAAGATGACAATGAAAATATACGCCGTCATTTATTAAGAGCATGGACTATGGACCAAGTACTTGGTAATCTCATTTAACTTTCACAACACCCTTGGTAGGTCATTTTCCCCATTGTACAGATGAGGATGAGGTTCAGAGGTTTTGAGTAAGTGGCCCAGAGTCACGCAGCTCTTTTGTGGTAGAGCTGTGATTTGAACCCAGGCTCATCTGGAAGGTCTACGCTCAGTCCGAAGTACTTTTGTTGTAGTTCCCGTTCAAGATGCCGACACAGGAGCTGCTGAACTCACCTCCTCCCACGGACTCACGGACTCTCCAGATACATATGGAAGAGTTTCCTCTGAAAAAAAAAACTCCAAAACCAGCTGAGTGACCCCTACGCATCAAGAGAATGAGAAAAACCTCACATGGAAGCAGGTAGGCGAGGCTGAGAGACAATCTCGCCGTAAACCCCGTCCCTGGCACGGTGTCCCACAGTGGAAAGGAACTCAAAACCCTGATCTTCTCCCTGAGGAGTGAAGGGTTTGAACCCCACATATAGCACCCCAACTTTTCAGACCTGCACTTTAAGTACTTTTGTTTTCTTCTTGGAAGAGGCCGGGAGCTGGTGCACCCAGCCGGCTGGACAAACATGCAGCTTACAGGACATGTAGGGCCCAGGATCTGGGTCTCCTCCCTAGTCTCTATCTAGCCTGGGCAGCCAGAGATTATGGTCAGGGCTTTTTATCACTCCCTGAAGCCTTCTCCCAGCATCTCCCTGTTTATGGCCCCTTAAGCAGACACCCAACAAAGGGCTGCCCAAGAGGCCCCAGAACTGGCTTGGCAAACAAATGTCACTCAGGTCTCTCCAAGGCAGCATTCAAGCCTGGGCCCTGGGCAGCTCCCACAACTTCCATCTTTACTATATGGAGATAATAATACCTGTGCACTAAGATGTATGGACAAAGATGTTCATCACAGCATTGTTTATAATAGGGGAAAACTAGAAATAATCTAAATGGTCAACACTGGGGGACTGGTTACTATGCAACAGAACGTACAAGGGATTAATACCATGCAGCCCTTAGAACTCCTGCAGTAGAAGAATGCTTCCTGACATAGGATGAGGTTCATATGACGACGTCAAGTGAGAGAAGCAGAGACCTGCTAGCCATCCCCACTCCTCACCACCACCCAGGCCAACTCCTGCTTGCATCCTACCATCTAGTCACACTAAACCTCTTATGGTCCCCTGAAAGCCCCAGGCTTTCCCTCTTTTCAGGCATTGGCACTTACTGTCCCCTCTGCCTGGAATGTCACTTCCCATCTCTTCCTGTAACTCTTTCAAACTGGCTAACTCTGGTTCAGCCGACAGGTCTCAGTGGAAACGTCTCTTCCCCTGGGAAGTACTCTGGCATTTGGGCTGGCGCAGGGCCCCTCTGTTCTCTCGCCACCCCTGTGGGTCCCCCAGCACGGCATGTGTCACACTCTCTTTGACTGGACATTTAACTTCCTGCTTCAGAAGATGAGGACAGACGTCCAGCTCTGCGTGAACATCTCACAAGTACCATGCTGGTCCAATTTATTGAGGATATCATGCCAATAGGACTTGGTGATCAGTAAGTATTACACATCTTAGCTGGCTCACTAAGACACACATACACACACACACACACACACATACATGCACATCTATATAATATATGGAGAGAGAGAGAGGGAAGGAGGGACGGAGGGAGAGAGAGAGAGATCTATGTTGCAGTCTTGGAGCAGAATTCCTTCTTCTCTGGGAAAACTCAGTTCTTGCACTTAAGGCCTTCAGTTCACTGGAGGAGGCCCATCTACATTACGGAGGGTAACATCCTTTTCTTAAAGCCAACTGGTTGTAAATGTTAATCATCTTTAAAACACCTTCATAGAAACATCTATACTTGAACAAACGACTGGGCACCAGAACCCAGCCAAGTGGACACATAACATTAATCATCACAGACCCTACTCCTGGTACCAATTACCTGATCAACCGAGACTCTTACTTGGAAACAAGAGAAACCACTCTGGTTCAAACAAGAGAGATTTATTCTAAGATATTTGAGAGACTCTCCATAAAGGCCAGAGTATAAGACCTTTCTTCTTTCCTAATATAAGCACTGAAAGTTAAAAATTCCCCTAGACACTGCTTTAGATGCATCCCACAAATGATGTTACACTGTATTTTCATTTTTCACTTAGTTTGAAATATTTTCTAATTTTCTCCATGATTTCTTCTTGGATGCCTGAGTTATTTATAAATGTATAAATACATTTCAAAATATCTGTGGTTATTTAGATATAGTGTTATTAATATATAATTCCATTCCACTGTGAAGACACTGTAAGATTTCAGTATTTTGAAATATACAGAGACTAGCTGAAGGCAGAGCATAAGTCTGCCCTGGTGAAGGTGCCACGCGCACTTGAAGAGAAGTCGTTGGGTATAATGAACCAACGTTGGGTATAATGAACCAGTAAATGTCAGTTAGCTCAAGGTGGTTGCTGGTGTTATTTAGATCATCGGGTTTTTACTGATTTGGTGTGTTACTAGTTGACTTATCATTGACTGAGAAACAGCTATTAAAACCTCCAACTATTGACATTTGTACACACATGTTCTCAGCGACATTATTCACAACAGCCAAAAGGTGGAAGCAACCCAAATATCCACTGATACATGAATGAATAAACAAAACGTGTATATACATACAATGGAATATTATTTAGCCTTAAAAAGAAAGGAGGACTTCCGTGGTGGCACAGTAGTTAAGAATCCGCCTGCTAATTCAGGGGACACGGGTTTGATCCCTGGTCCGGGAAGATCCCACATGTTGTGGAGCAACTAAGCCTGTGTGCCAAAACTACTGAAGCCTTCCCACCCTAGAGCCCGTGCTCTGCAACAAGAGAAGCCACTGCAATGAGAAGCCTGTGCACCGCAACAAAGGGTAGCCCCCGCTCACCGCAACTAGAGAAAGCCTGCACACAGCAACGAAGACCCAACGCAGACAAAAATAAATAAATAAATAGATAAATAAATAAATTTTAAAGAAAGGAAATTCTGACACATGCTACAACATGGCTGAATCTTGACATCATGCTAAGTGAAACAAGCCAGTCACAAAAAGACAAGAACTATATGATTCTACTTATATGACGTCCCTAGAGTAGTCAGATTCATAGAGATAGAAAGCAGAAGGGTGGGATTAGCAGATGCAAACTATTACATATAAGATGGATAAATGACAAGGTCCTACTGTGTATCACAGGGGACTATATACAATATCCTTTGATAAACCATAATGGAAAAGAATATGAAAAATAATGTATAAAAAATTAACACAACATTGTAAATCAACTATACTTCAATAAAATAAAATATATTCAAGCATATATATGTATGTATATATGTAAAAAAGAGAGAAAGTAGAAGGGTGGTGGCCAGAGTCTGAGGGGAGGGGGAATGGGGAGTTGTTTGATGGGTAGTGTTTCTGTTCTACAAGATGAAAAAGCTTTGGTGATCAGTTGGACAAAATGTAAATATATATAACACGGCAAAATTATACACTTAAAGTGATTAATATGGTAAATTTTATGTTATGTGTATTTTACTATTGCAATTTAAAAAAATGTTTTTAAATCTTCAACTGTTTTTGTAGATTCTAATTCTCCCTTCAATTCTGTCAAGTTTTGAATTGTGCATTTTAAAGTTTAGATACTAGACATATATACAAATATAACTAGCATAGCTTCCTGATGAAACGACCTACATTGATTATAGACAAAAAATAATATTATTCTCATATACACAGATTGGAATTCCCTACTTCCAGCCACTTCATGTGGTGACTAAAAGCATGAGCTCTAAAGTCAGAGAGTCCGATTATGCCACCTATCTGTTGTGTAACCTAGAAAGGTTATTTAATTTCTTTGAGCCTCAGTTTCCTCATCTGTAAAATGGGCTTCATAGCTGTATCTATTTCCCAGGATTGCCATAAAGATTAAGCATAAACAGCACCCAGCCCAGAGCCTAGTATGCAGTAAGCACTCAAGGTGTGTCAGCTATCATCATCATCATTGTCATCGTCATCGTTGTCATCACATATGTATGTGTGGATAGAAATCATAATGGATGAGGAAGGCTTTGGAAGGCAAGTCATAAGAGGAATCTTTGAAGGAAGCCAGGTAATCCTGGGTAGAGACGAACATGAGCACTGGCCTCACGTGTCTGCAGAGCTATAATGAGATGGGAAGAAGCAACCAATTATTTCTGGGGACCCTAGGGAAGATGATGACCCAAGAAGGAACCACAGACAGTGGTCAGCCTGAAGGAAGAAGCCACCACCAGAGTTTTGACCTATGATAGTGTCAGATTTGGGGGAGGAAGTGAGCTCCCCAAGCCAGGAAGTGTGCAGAGCTAAGGCTTGGTGGGCAGATGTCAGGGAGAGGATTCCTGCACTGGTGGGAGGTGGAGGAAATGACTTAGGAGGTCCTGTCTTTGGCCTTGGTCTCTCTGGATAAGGCTCTGAAGGTTCCATCCCCTCTTTGGCCACAGCCAGTGACTAGAGGCCATTTCAGGATTATGGGCAATACCCTTCGCTCCTCCTCTGTCTGTCCTCTGTGTGATTCTATTCCTTGATCACAGCCAAGCTCCCACCCCACTACCTCTGGGCCTTTGCACATGCCATATCCACTCCAAAGAAGTGCATCCAGGTTTTGTGGACCTGAAACTTATAAAGCTGGGAGACCTCCTTTAAGGAAAAGAGAACCAAAAATCAGATAAGAATGTGAGTATTTAGAACCAGAAACAAAACCACAACGAATTTTTTGTGTGTGTGTGAGGCCAGCATTGTTTTGCTTTTACTATTTTCATTTTTTAAATCTTTTTCAACAGAAACAGACTCACAGACATAGAGACACACAATAGAGACACACATAAAGACCACAATAGATTTGTGGTTGCCAAGGGTGAGAGGGGGTGGGGGAGGGATGGAATGGGAGTTTGGGATTAGCAGATGCAATTTGTTATACATAGAGTGGATAAACAAGGTCCAACTATATAGCACAGGGAACTAACTATATTCAATATCCTATGATAAACCATAATGGAAAAGAATATGAAAAAGAATGTACATATACATATAACTGAATCACTTTGCTGTACAGCAGAAATTAACACAGCATTGTAAATCAACCATATGTCAATAAGGTAAAATTTTAAAAATAATAAATAAATCGTCATCTTTTTCAAGTGATATTGGTTTTTCAATTGACTGAGGTGATATCAGGTATCTGTTTAAAATAAATTTGAGACATGTGCTCCATGAGGGCAAGGAGTTTTGTCTTATTTGTTCACCTCTGTTATCTCCCAAACCTCAACAGTGCCTAGACAAGTAGATAATTGGTAAATATTTGTTTAATGAAATTAATTAAAAATAATAAGCAGATGATAGCGTAAGTGTACCTAAATATGGCAAAATTTGCGATGAAAAACCACAATGAATTTTTAAAAGCTGATGAACACTAGACAATATCTAGAAAAATAACATAATATTTACATTTATCACCTGATACACCTCTATAACATTTTTATTCCTACCTTTTGGCTGTATACTTTTAGGATAACCTCTTCATATGACATTGATTTTGTAATGCCATTTTCTTTTCTTTTTAAAAAAATTTTACTTATTTATTTTTGGCTGTGTTTGGGTCTTTCTCTAGTTGTGGCGATCGGGGGCTACTCTTTGTTGCAGTGTGCTGGCTTCTCATTGCAGTGGCTTCTCCTGTTGCAGAACACAGGTTCTAGGTGCGCAGGCTTCAGTACTTGTGGCTTGCGGCCTCCAGAGCGCAGGCTCAGTAGTTGTGGCGCACGGGCTTAGTTGCTACGTGGCATGTGGGATCTTCCTGGACCAGGGCTCGAACCCGTGTCCCCTGCCTTGGCAGGTGGATTCTTAACCACTGTGCAGCCAGGAAAGTCCCAATGTCATTTTCTTTAGAGAAAATAAGAAGATAATTTAGCCTTTTCTCTAGCACAGTTGACCAAAAGGTTTTTTTGTTTGGTTGGTTGTTTTTGTTTGTTTGGTTGTTTGTTTTAATTGTTGATAGTTTAGAAAAGTTTCTTTCAACTTCACAACTCATTATGGGTGAGGTCATAAAATTTTAGGATTGTTGTCAAATTTAGAAAAACATCTATCAAGTTTCTTTCATAGAGGAGGTGTAAGATTTCAGGACTTTTCATGTTTCCTTGATCATTAATCTTAAAAATCCTTTGAATAAGTTGCCGCCTATTAATCAGTTTGTTGCCAATGTCCTCTTAGCAATGATGTATTTTGAGTTTTGTTATTTTCATCAATGCAGTATTCCGTGACAACTTCCCCTTAGCTGCTAGCTCCTCAAAAATGCCACCGCCATGCCAGCAATACCCCAAATGCGGGGAAGTATGACCGAGGGGAAAGTCAAAGAGGCAGCATTCTTATCCAGCTGCAGTTAAATTAGCTTACTTTGGCAAACTCTACACCATGTGATCCTGAGTGTGCCTTGCTTGGGCCCCTCCCAGGTCACTGGAAGGTGTCTGGCAAGTGAGGAGCTTAAGCTTTGTAGCTTTGTAGCTTTGTAGCTTCATGGTAAGCCTGGCAAATCCATTTCTGCCTCTTCCCAGAATGGAGCCTCTGCTCCGCCTACCGCTGTTGCATGTGGGTTACAGCTTCTCATCTTGTCAATCTCTGCTCAAGCATCACTTCATCCAGGAGGCCTCCAAAATAGGTTAGCTGCCCCATGAGGCTGGAGGCCACGTCTGTCTGTCTAGCTCACCCTGTCCCCTCCGTATACTTGGAGCAGAGCCAGGTACATAGTACAACCATAGACTCCAAAGGCTGAAGTGACCTGCCGAGTTCACCCAGACAGTAACTGTCAGAGCTGGGAGTCAACCAGGAAGGAAGGAAGGAAGGGAGAGAGGGAGGGAGGAACTCCAGCTTCCCAGACAGCCTGCAGGCCTCGGACATAGAACTGTGTTTCCTGCCAGACCCCTTCAGAGCCCGAGCTGGCCAGCTTCCCTTCCTCCATCCTGGGTGGCTGATGAGGAACCCCCAGAGGAGGTCATCTGAGTCCTAGAGCAGAAATCTCCCTCCCCAGCACCACGGTTGTGAAGCATAGAAAAGAGTGTGAACCTGGGTTTGAATCTCCCGGCCACTTCTTAGCAGCCCTGTAGCTTTGAGCAAGTTGGAATCATCTCTCTATGCTTCGCTCCATATCCTCATTTCTAAAATGAGCCTTATGACCTCCCCTCCCCCCCACAGGGCTGGCTGGAGGACCTTAGACAGCGTTAGATTAGAGGAAGTTTTCTGGCCCTTGGAGACAGCACCAAGTTGCAGGGCTCTCTTTGGTTTTGGCTTGTTTGAATTTAATTTTTATTTTATATTGGAGTTTGGTTGATTTACAGTGTTGTGTTAGTTTCAGGGGTACAGCTAAGTGATTCAGTTATACATATATCCGTTCTTTTTCAGATTCTTTTTCCATATAGATTATTAGAGAATATTGAGTAGAGTTCCCTGTGCTATACAGTAGGTCCTTGTTGATTATCTGTTTTATATATAGTAGTGTGTATATGTTAATCCCTAACTCCTGATTTATCCCTCCCTCCATGTTTCCCCTTTGGTAAGCATATGTTTGTTTTCAAAGTCTGTGCAGGGCTCTCTTTGTGAACCAGGGTCTAAGCAGAACCCTTTCTTTCTCTCTCCAGCCTGAGCCCATCCACACCCCAGTCCCTTGAGGGTCCTTCCAAAGCTTCTGCTGTTGCTTCTTCTTGACTGATGTCAACCAAGATGACCAACCTGCTTGTTATGGTAAAGTAACTCCGGACTGAGCATGTATTCTGCCCTCCCACCTGCCTCTTGATTTGAGGGGATGAAGGGCACACCTCTGTCACGGGTGAGCCTCACACGCACAGAGGTCAGAAGGTGGCTGCCTCTGGATTATGAATTCCTCTCGGTGGGCCATTCCTTTCTCACCAAGTGTCCCCAGCACCCAGCACAGGGCCTGGCCCAGGGTCACACCCAGTAAACGCTAGCTGGGAATTAAGGGAGATGCTGGGACACTGACTGTCCCAAGGCAGTCACCCCTGGCTCACCACAGTGGCCACTGGGGGACAAGGGGTAATGCATCTACTGTGTGCCAGGCACCAAGCTCAGCTTTGCTACCTGCTTCTCTTGTTTCCCCGATGCCCTGAAAAATAGGTACTACCATCCCCATTTCACGGAGGTGGAGACTGAGGCTCAGCCAGGACAAACCACTTACTTGGGCCCACCCATATGGTAAAGCTTGGAGGGGATATTCCAATCAGGGCTCCTGGCTCTGCTTACTGCTCTCCCTATCAGTCCTTAACCTAGAATTCCCCCCAGGAAGTCATTTTTTCCTGTTAAGGAATGCTCCTCTGTTAATATGTAGTACAATGGCAAATGAGTCTAAAATTACATTTTAAAAATTGAACACTATTTTCTACCCAGGGGTAAAAACAACCGTGAGCTCCTCAAGGGAGGGAATGGGTTTTTTTTCGCTGTTGTTGTTCTTGTATCCTCACTGCCTATCACAAGGTCTGGCATGGAGTAGGATTTCAACAGACGTTTGTTGAATGACTGTGTGAACGTGTGAGTGAGTAAATGAAAACAGCCATCTCACCAATCAATGGCCCATCCCTGTAGAAGCATAGCTCATTTGGGCAAGATGAGACCCTCTAACCTAGTGGTCACAGACGTAGCATGTGGGCTATACAGTTCATAAGAAGGCTTTGTTTAATCCACATAATATCTTTAAAATTTTTTAAATTACTTGTCAATATTTAAAAATTAGGTTTCACATAAAATCTAGATTTTCACCTTGTGGCAGAGACTTTCACCAAAAGTCTACCTTTCTCCAAACCCATACCCTGTTCTTCCCTGCACAGAGCAAGACTCTGTTTCCCAGACTCCCTTGCGGTTACGATGATCATGTGATTACATTCTAGCCAGTGGAATGTGGGCAGAAGTAATATGTAGCACTTCGTGCCCAGTTCCTAAAACCTCCCTCCCAATCCTCCACACTCTTTTCTGGGTCTGTGGGGCAGGTGCAGAAGATCCAGGGGAGACTCCTAGGCCTTAGGAGATGGCAGAGCCAAAGATGAAAGGAACGGGGCTCATCCATGGCCGTGTGGAGCCTCCACATTGGACTATGGTGGGAACAGGAAACACATCTTTACAATGTTAAGGCCATGTGCTTTGGGATTTTTTGTTACAGCAGCCTATCCTGACTAATACATCTTCTCTTGAAAACTCCCAAATCTGGCAACACAGGGCTTACTTTTCTACGTGACAATGATGAGCTGGACTTTTGTAGCTGTTGTGCCCTTCAGCCTAGCTGGCGTTTTCTAGCTCACCTGATCCCTGCTCTCAGTCTGCCTGGCTTCCAGAGCTATTTGATTTTGCAGCTTCTGCTCAAATTCAATCTCTCTCTCAAACATATGGGGAAATTGAGGCACAGAGGGGACAGGGGGCCAGCTTCAGGTCACAGTATGTTGGGGATAGAGCTGAAACTTGGACTGAAGTCTCCTAATTCCTACTCCAGTCTTCTTCCTTGGGATCTTTCTTAGGAAGTGACAAAAGAGGGAGCTGTTCCAAGTCTAAGGCCCTTTTGGGGTGGAGGGGGAGTTAGGTGGCCAAGACGGAGAGGGGGCACCCCAGATGGTGGAGGGGGTGAAAAGAGGAAGGGAAACCCTGACTCCCCTGTGACTCCAGTTGGCATAAGGCTTAGAAACGCCCGACAGGCAGTGAGGAGCTGGGTCTGCAGGTCTGGTTCAGAAGCCTGACTCTGATCGTCCCCGTCCCTCTCCCTCTAGGGAAAGGGCCCGTGTCCTTGATTGCCTAAGCTCCACTGACAAGAAGCAGGAACGAATTCTCCCTCCCAGACAGTCAAATCCCGAAAGAAATGAATCTGCAAATTAACATCCCATGTTGAGGTGGCTGTGCCAGGAATGTCCAAGTGGTGAGGGCTGGGAGGGAACCCTGTGAGGTGTGGACAGAGCCATCCCGGTGAGCCCTCTCTCTCTCTTTTTTTTTTTTTTTTTTTTTTTGCTGTACGCGGGCCTCTCACTGTTGTGGCCTCTCCCTTTGCGGAGCACAGGCTCCGGACGCGCAGGCTCAGCGGCCATGGCCGGTGAGCCCTCTCTTAGTGGCTGGGCTGGGCTGGGGCTTCGCCTCCCCCTCAGTCACTCTAATTCCCTAATACCTTGAGCACCTGTCAAACATACGTTTTCTGGAGGGCTCGGAGAAAACGCACCTCACCTGAGGAAACTTCCCGGCATCCCTTCCCACGCTTTCCTGCAAGGGAGGCAGCATCTGCCGTGGAGATGATTGTGGATGCCCAGGGGCGGCTGAGAAGCCACAGATCCTTCTTGGGCTCCACGATCTCGCCTACCCAGACCAGACTCCTGCCTGGATCCCACGGCAGCTTTGCCAGAAGCATCGTTTGCTCATACCTTCTCCAAGGCTTACCCTCCCCTCCTCCACTGAGGGCCAGCTGTCTTCCCCAGCTCAGACTGGGTAAGGCTCTTGGAGACTTGAATTTGCATCCAACACTCCCCCTCCACTGCCGCTATATTGAAAGGAACAGAGAGAAATCACTAAGTTGAGGGCCCGGGTAGAGAAAGAAGAAAAGAGAGTCCCCTCTGTCTGTGAAGTGTGTTCAGAGCTGTTGATGCAGAAAGGCTTTGCTTGAAAACTCCATGAACCTAAAAGAGCCTTGGGCACAAAAGCTCTGAGCTGCTCTCAAGAAGTGATTACATAGCAGTTACACCGGATGTGCATTAAACACTAATAACACAAACCCTTACAGAGGCCTACAATACCTTACTCAACTTTCTGGTGGGAGACAGAAAGTCTGAGCAAAATAATTTAAGTTTAGCACCCAAACTCATTTGGTGGCAAAAACCCAACCTGATCGGTTGTATGAATACGCATACATTATTCTCTGCAGAAATATTAATGTGTTTAATTATGGTATGCTAACCCAGACCCTCAACTAATAGCTTTTTTCAAAGTTTTTTATTTTATATTGGGGTATAGTTGATTTACAATGTTGTGTTAGTTTCAGGTTATACAGCAAAATTGTTCAGTTATACATATACATATGTCCATTCTTTTTCAGATTCTTTTCCCATATAGGTTATTACAGAATACTGAGTAGAGATCCCTGTGCTATATAGTACGTCCCTGTTGGTTATCTATTTTATATATAGTAGTGCGTGTATATTAATCCCAAACTCCTAATTTCATCCCCCCACCGCTAGTGTCTTACTATAACCTATGGCATGTGCTTTCAAAAACCCCCAAACTCCCCAAATCCCAAAATGCATGAGGGCCCTGAGACATCGGTGTTTTAGATAAGGAATTGGGGCACTTATACATTCTAAGTGCTTTACATCCATTAACCCACTTAATCCTTGCAATAACCCTATGGGGTAGAACTTAAGATTCTTCTTCCCATTTTATAGATGAGGAAACCGAGGCAGAGAGAGGTGAAGTGACTTGCTTCACAGCTGGTGTTGGAGCTGGCGTTTGGACCCAGGCATCCCAGTTCTAGAACTCTCTGAACCACTCCACCATCTGCCTTGCTAGGCAAGGTGGGGGTGGGGTGGGTGGGAAACAGAAAATAACCATTTTAAGCCTCATGTGCAACAAGTACACACCCAGGAGGGCATACAAGGAGCAAACCTGCTGCCACAGGTGTTCTTGATGGTAACCCAGCCATCCAGGTTGCCCTGGTACTGTCCTGGATGTGGCACTGGAACTCCTGCATCCTAGAAAACTCATCCGGCCCATCCAGCTGGGACGGATGCTCACCCTAGTTCTTGGGGACCATGTGCCTCTTCTCTTATGAGTATTGTGAGCATCAGGACCCACTGAGGGGGATTCTGGGGTCTGGGGATGCGTATTGTTCATACAACATGGCTTCTGAACCCAAACAAGGATCTCCTGTGGGCACTTAAGCACGACATGGGGAGGAAACCCTGGAGGACGTGCCAGCTGTGTCAGATTCACCCAGCAGCAGTGTGTCTGTCTCCACCTCAGCACCTTCCTAAGGGGTTTACAAGAACGAGGGCACTCTATCAGGTTTTCCCCCTGAGTGCTGACTTTGGACTCCATTGTAAACACAGGGGGGATATACCCTTGGGAGGAGATTTACTCTGATGTTCCAATTTAGAAATGACTGGCTCACACCCCCAGCTTTGAATTTTAACTCTAAAAAGCCCACCCCGACTTCTCAGGAATGAGCCACACCAGAGACTCATAGCCACCTGCCACGGGCTTGCCCAGTCCTGTCTAAGTGCAAAGAAGAAAGAGGCAAGACCCCTGCCCTTGAGAAGCAGGTCTGGGGCCGTAGAGGCAGGAGATAAGCGTACCCCGACTCAGAGGGGGAGAAAGAGAGCCCCATGTGCTGAGGGTCCCGCAGGCTCCTGGAGCTGGTGAGGAAGAAGGGGGGCTGGCATGGGAATGCTATACAATCCTTCTACGCTGAGGGCTGCCCGAGTGAAGGATGCAGGCTGGAGGCTGCCAGTTAAACGTGGCAGACTGAACAGATAGATTTACCTTCACTGTTCTCTGGAGTTCCAGTATGAGGACATAAAGGCATTAAAAAAAAAATGCACACCTGTCCGCTGGAACAAAGAGACCGTGTGAGAAGATGACAGCAGATAAGAGGAGTCAACCACATTCTGGAAGCTGGAAAGCAGATGGTGAGTGGGGACTGACTTAAGAAACCCGAGAGGTTGAAACCTGACAATTTAGGGGGAGCCATCAGGACACAAGACAATTTAAGATCTTCAGAAAGTCTCAGGGGTCGGAGGGACCAGGAATCTCCAAAGGCCGAGTACCGAGCAGAATTAAAACCAGAAAGGCTGGTGGGTAACCATCTGTGGGACAACTGGATTTCTTCTACCCCAGCTGGCACAGGCAGGGCATGACCCTTCCTCACCGGAGCAGGAGGCTCCCTCTCGGGAGAGGCTGGACCATGATGATCTGAGAGAATGTACAGCAAGGCTCAGCACAGGGCCGGGAATCTAGCAGGTCCTTGGTAAGTTGCTGCTGTCATTATTCTATTCAGCTGGCCTCTTTTTGTCTTGTTCTCTAATTTTCTTTTGGTCGGAAAAAGACTCAAAGACATGAGGCAGAAAGGTGAAGTGGGCGGCAGAGGCTAGCTGCCTGGTAACACCCCCTCCAGCTAGCCACATGCCCTCCTCACACACTAGGCTATTTGCCTTCTAATATCTACTACCTTCTTTTTCTTTAGTAACAGAATCTCCCTTTTTAGATAGCTACCTTGCCGCCTAGCTCCAAGGCATTTTCCAGTCTCTTTTGCAATTAGGTGTGGCCATGTGACTATATAAATAGTAGTGTTGTGAGCAAGTCAGGAAGTATCTTTATAAGAGAAATGGTCTTCCTCCACTCTGCTCTCTGGGCTGCAGATGTGATGGCCAGTGCTTCAGCAGCCATACTGCACAATGAGGAAAGGGGCCACTTGCTAGGGATGGCAGAAAGAGAGATGGAAGGAACCATCTTCATGGAGTTGCCATACCAGCCTGCACTGCCAGCCTTTGGACTTCTTTCACAGGACAGAGAAATAGACTTCTTTCTTGTTTTGGCTACTATTATTTTAGGACTTTCTGTTGTGTGCATCTGATTCTGATCCTGTAAGCTTAAGTTGGGGGCAACCCCTCCCTTGTTGTCCTCTTTCCTATTCAGAGATCCTAGAAGATGAGAATCAGCAGAGACCTTAGCTGTTATGGAGTCCACAGGGCCAGGGGCAAAATCTGGCCCACAGATGTTTTCTTTAGCTCATACAAAGTTTTTAAAATCAGGAGCTATTTGAACACATTTTGAACATTAAAATGGCAATATCTGGCTTTTCTTGAATAATTGGAGGATCTGGCAACACTGAATTCATTCAGCACGGCAGGATTTAGTTGGAGCATCTGCTCCCTCATTGAGCAATCCCCACTTCTATTGCTAATATATATATATATAAAATTTCTATAATATCTATAAGGTATATATATAATATAAAATATCTATAAGGCATATATTATATAATATGTAAGGTATATATTACATATATAATATTTTATAGATACACATAATCCTATATTATATATAAATCATATATAATCATATATATATAATCCTATGAGCTAGTTTTATATATATATATATATATACACACACACACACACACACGTTATCCTATATGCTAGATATGTATATGGTTACCCTATGAGCTAGGTATGTTATATATATATACGCACTACCCTATGAGCTCGGTATGTAAATGTGTGTCCCCACGCAACAGATGAGGAATTTGAGGCTCAGAGAAGACTTGCCTGGGTCACAGGTCACAAAGCTGGAAGCAGTGGAGCCAGTCTGCATTCCATGCTGGCTCTGTCAGCCTTTGAGTTTGCAACCCTTGACGTCCCAACCCCTTGCTCAGAGTTTCTCAGAGGAAGACAACAGAGCCAAAGAGGAAGAAATGCTTAATGACCCTCTTGTCATATTGTATCAAACCAGTGGCACAGAGCCCCCCTGCTGCACTGCAACTTGGGAATGGGACTTTCCTCTCCATATCCTGTGACTGGCACAGAGCCAGCTGGGGAACTATGTGCTGAACAAATGAGGTAACCCACTCTCAGTCACACAGAGCCAGATGCGGAGCTGGGATGCAAACCCAGGGCTCCTGCCTGCCCGCCCAGGGCTCTTCCAGACCTGGTTGCCGCCCAACCTATCCTGTTTTCTTCAGATGCTGACAGAGGTCAAGAGCACAGGTTGAGGTCTAGCGTATTTACACTCAAACTCCAGCTTCACGTCTCACCACTTTGAGCCTCAGTTTCTGCACCAGGGAACAGAGCTAATCACTTACCTCATGGGGCCGCTGCGAGAATTTGATGAGATCACGCACATACCTTCTTGCGATAACCAGCACCTAATAGATACTCAATGAATAGGAGCTATTATTGTGATACATATTTTGTATGAGTGTGTGGGGTTAAGAGGGATTAATTTGCCTATGTCTTGAAATCCTTTCCCTTATGCTTTGACTTGCCCTCCCTTAACCCAAGGCAGCCTGAGCCCTTCATAGGACTGGACACAAGGTCACGCTCAGGCGAGGGCTTCCCATATATCTCAGGAGCTTGTGAACAATGATCTGAATTGTCTACTCACCTTCCATCATTCCACCAACATATAACGAGCTCCTACTCTCCAGCAGGCCCTGGGTCAGGGCTGGAGATGTAGGAGAAGTTGAATGTGTCCTGCCTTTGAAGACTATCTACCTGGCTGGTGAGGTTAGACAAGGTCCCATGACTCTGATACATGGAAGATGATGACAAGTCTTATGGGAAGGGGAGCAAAAGGGCTACCTTCAGGAAGATGCATTCCCACTCCAGCAGAGACTGCTAGATGCTCATCCACATCCGGGCTCTCCGCTCCTTCCCAGCCTGGACTACTACATTTCCCAGTCTCCCCTGCAATTCAGTGTGGCCACATGACCCAGCTGTGGCAATTGAATGTGGACTGAAGAGTTGTGTGCTACTTCTGAGCCTGGCCCCTCAAAAGCCCCAACACTGCTTAATACTCTCTTCCCCCTCTGAATGGCTGGAATAAGGATGACCCCCAGGGTAACCTTGAGACCCACGTGTTGTAGATTCAGAAGGACTGAGTGGAGAGTTTCTGCCTGCCCAGAATTGTTACATGAACAAGAACTCTACTTCTAGCCTATTTGCCAGGTATTTGTAACAGTCTGTGTGTTACAGTAACTACCGTTACCCTAATACATCTGCCTTGAAAGTCAGATTTTTTTTCATTATGTAACTTTTCCCCTTCACAACTTTAACAATTATATTTAGTGCTGTAGTACTAAGTTACCAATGTTATTGTCACAACTTAATTCTTTAACTGGAGATTATACTCCTGACCAGGATTGTTTCGATTGGGATATTCTTATTCATTAGTTCTGTGGGGTTCTTTTTGTTTGTTTTTTGTTGGTTGTTGTTGTTGTTGACTGGAATTAGATCTTAAACTAGATTTTTCAGGAAGGTTATGTGAGAGTGACAATTCCTGCGTGTTTGAAAATAGATCTCGCTTCTCTTCACACAGGAGTGATGTACTTTGTGGATAATGAATCTGGGGGAGGGTATCTCTCCATCCCTCCTCCAACTCTGTAGACATTGGCCCACTGTGTACTGACGTGGAGATATTCAAGGCCAGCCTGTATCACTGAGGGTCCCAGCAGGAACCAGGCGACACATTCAAACTGAGTCATTGAGGAGAGTTTAATAAAGGGATTATTTACATTCAGTTATAAAATGAATAAAGTCTGAGGATCTAATGTATAATATGGTGGCTATAGTTGATAACATTATTGTGTAATTGACGCTTGCTAATAGAACTTAAATGTTCTCACATGCAAAAAGGTAAATATGTGAGGCGATGGATGCATTCATTAACTTAATGGGGAAAAATCCTTTCAAAATGGATACGTATATCAAATCATCCCATCATACACTTTAATCTTACTATTTCATTTGTCAATTATACCTTGGTAAAGCTGAAAAAATACTAAATTTGTATAATTTACAAATTATTTATTTACAAAGAGGTAGGTAGGTGTAGCTGTCAGGGCACTGCCCATATGTCCTCAGCAATGACCTCTACGTGGCAACAGCTGCTTCCTACTAATACCTGAGTCAGCATCTCTGTCTCTCTCTCTCTCTCTCTCTCTCTCTCTCTCTCTCTCTCTCTCTCTCCTGCAGGTGTTTTCTAACTGTGCAAGTAAGCTTAGCCACTGTGTTGAGCAACCTAGAAACTCCAGGAACGTAACATCCTGGAGCAGCCCTCCAACAACGACAGTCGACAGTGGGTGGACAAACCTGGCAGCCTCCTCGCTCCTCAGTTGGATTAGCTCTGGGACACATTCTTCGTTCATCTCCGAGTTCCCCTGAGGGACTGAGCTCCAGTTGTCCTGTCTGGTAAGCTGTCTGGATGTATTAGCTTCTCTCACGTCCTGTCTCACTTCTGCCCTCCCCTTCCCATGTTTCCTGGGATCTTTTTCCCAAATAAACTACTTGTGCTCAAATCTTTATCTCAAGCTGTGCTTTTGGGGGGACCCTAACCCAGAGAGCAGAGTTTAGGGAAAGCAATGAAGGCTAGTGCAGTAGCCCGAGGGGCAGGAGGGAACCTGGAGAGGGAATGGTGTGGAGAGGGCCGGCTGTTGGGAGCCTTGACCTTGGTAGAGAGACACAGTTGACCCAGTGACTGTGGGGGGAGAGAGGGAATAAACATCCTGACTTCTCCCTCCTCCCACCTTCCGATCTCCTGCTGGTGCCCCCTATCAACCAAACCCCACCAGAAGTCAGAGAGCAAGCGAGCCTATTGGTGTTTCCATAGTGGTCAGGCTGCCTGGCACAGCAGTAGCAAGAAGGGCAGAAAGTGCATCTGGAGGGTCAAACAGAAGATGCGCAGCACACAGCCTGATTTTTTTCCTTTGCATTTGACTTGCTTGGAAAGCATAATCTCGATAGTCCAGGATCTGGGAGAAGGCTTTTCCAGGTGTCAGGATGGAGTAAACTAAGGGGCAGGGACTGGAGGGGCTGGGGTGTGCTGGAGCCAGCAGTTGTTATCTACGGCTGCCTAGCAATCCACCCCAAGACTTAGTGGCTCCGAGTAACAGCCAGTTATTAGATATGCAGCTGTGTAGGTCAGGACTATGGGCTGGGCTCAGCTGGGTAATTCTTCTGCTCCACATATTCAGCTGGCAGCTGTTCTGGTCTGGAGGGTCCAACATGGCTCCACTAGTGTGTTTGGTTTCTTGGTGGAGATGCTGGAAAGGCTGGTGGACTGAAATGACTATACATGGGTTCTCTTAGTGTGATGATCTCAACATACTTGGATTTCCTACACAGTGACTCTGGGTTCCCAGAAAGAATGTTCAAGAGGCCCCAGTGGCAGCTGCAAGACTTCTTATGACCTAGGCTCAAAGTCCAGGAACGTCAACCTCCACCACATTCTATCAAACAAGTCACTCAGTCCAGCCCAGGTACAAAAGGAGGAAAATTAGACTCCATCGGGCAATGGGAGGACTAGCAAAGAACCGTGTCACTTTTCACCAACCAGCAAGTCATCCAGGTTGACTAGTGTTTGGGGAATGTGCTGGGAAGTGATGTTGGAGAGGGACTGGAATGTCATGACAGGGGCTGGGGAGACAGTAATAAGGAGGAGAGTGAAGGTTCTGGAGTCAGATTCTAATTCAAATCCCAGCTCTGCCATGTATAACACATGTGCCAAGCAGGCTGTCCTTTCTCTGAGCCTCAGAGTTCTCATCTGTCAAGTGGGACCCATTCCTACCTCACAGGATGCTGTAGAGATTAAATGGGATGAAGTGCTTCCCTGAGAACCTGACTCCAAGTATGTCTCAGTAAACAGGGGCCATTATCATGTACCCTGAGTGACATGGGGAGCCAGGAAAGGATCTTACAGAAAACCCCTCTGGCTTCAACAGTGTATCCGAAGGATCATTTTTGACCCGCTCTCACCCTCACTCTCACACAACCCGACACAAGCCCAGATGATTTTACACCCTAAAGGTAGCTTGCATCTGATTTTCCCCATCTCCCCCACTGTCATGGGCATCTCCACCCAGACCCTGCAGTTGCCTCCTTCCTGCTCTCCCACGCATCCTCTGGCCCCTCTGCAATGCCTTCCCCTCAGAGCAGCAAGCCCAGGCTTCATCTCCAGCTGCACACGAACCACATGGGGGATGGTGTTCAAGTACGGACTCCGGTTCAAAAGGGCTGGGATGGGGTCTGAGAGTCAGTGGTTGACGATTTCAGGACCACACTTGGAGTAGCTGCTGGAGAATGTTTTTCCCAAACAAAAGTTTAACCTCATCTTGCCTCCACCTACAACCCTCCATTGATTTTCCAGTGCTCTCAGGGGAAAGACCGAATCCTCATCGCATCCCGCAGGCCCCATGTGATCTGGTTCTTGCCTGACTCTCTGGCCCCTTGCCCTCCACTCTCCCACTCCCTCTTTCCCCCTTATTTATTATTAATGTATTTATTCTATAATGAAATGAAATAGCAGCACCATCCCACCCAAGTACTGGAACACCACCAATAACCTGAATGTACCTGTGTGCAGCTCCCTCCCCCTCCTCTCCCCCACCCATTCCCCTGAGATAACCATTCTTCTCAAATTTGTGTTTATCTTTCCTTTGCTTAAAATTTTTTTCTATGGATGCATGTTTGTCTAAACATGCGTATTTTTGGTTTCGCTTTTATTATACATTCTAAAAGTTGCACCATAGAGTATGTAGTTTTCTGCAACTTATTCTTTTATTCAACATTGTTTGTGAGATAGATGTGTCGTTGTCTGCTGAAGCTCATTCAGTTTTACTGCAGTATAATATTCCATGGTGTGAATATTCCAGTTTATTTGCCCATCCGCCTGTGGATGGGCATCTGGGTGTTTCCAATGTTCTTGCTATTAGGAACAGCGCCGGTGGGAACATTCTTGCAGGCTCTCTCCGGCTGCACTGTGGGCCGGTTTTTCAAGGGAAAATGCCTAGGAGGGGATTCGCCGTGGGCCCCCTCCTCTCTTTTCATTCCCCAGCTCCCTGGGATCTCTCACACAGAATGCCCTCTCCACCTCGGCTTCCCTCTTCCACTCCACCTGCACCCACCCCGACCCCCTTCACCTGGTAAACTCCGTGTTGTCAGAGAAGCCTTCCCCCACCTGCAGGCCACAGCTGGCCCCCATTAAAGCTTCCTGATTATACATTTACGTTGTGTGATTCTGCGATGAGCGTATGTCTCGCCCGGTAGAGTGCGAGCCCCACGAGGTTTGTGAAGCGCACCGGTTCCCAGCTTCCAGCTCGGGCCTGGCACCCTGCAGGCGCCCAGGCAGTAGCGTGACCGTGCCGGAGGGACCGGGCGGGAGGCAGAGCCCGGCCAAGCGGCTGCAGCCTGAGCCCACAGGTGCCTCCAACCCGGCGTCCCGGGCTAGCGATTGGGGGCGGGCCGCGGCCCCGAGGTGGCTCGGGTACGTCCCCACCGCCCTGCAGGAGTTCCAGGAAAGGCGCCGCGCGGGTCTGTTGGCCGGAGCGGGGCGCCGGCAAGGGGGCGGGGCGGGGGCGGGGCCCGGGGCAGGCGGGGGGGTGGGGTGGGTGGAGCCGGGCCCTATTAAGAAGAGCTTGGCGGGCCGCGATCACTGCAGGCCCCCGGGAAAGCAGACCGGCCATCGACCCAGCGGGACCACGGATCTTCGGCGGAGGGAGCAGCGCCGGGGTGCACGCTTGGCACCATGGCCCAGACGCCAGCTTTCGACAAGCCCAAAGTGAGCGCGGGCGGGGGCTCGGGGTCCGGGGTTCGGCGTCCGGGTCCTTGTCTGGCTGGAGGGCTTAGGGGCATCCACGGCTGGGGAGCAAACGGGGCCCCTGCAGGCGCTTTCTTCCCTCAGCTTCCCTCGCCCGCCTCCAGGCCGTTTAATGAGAGGCAAAGAGACAGGAAGAGTCCTGAATCCGGAGGCGCCCCTTGATGGCTTCCAAGTTCTGCTTCTGCCTCTGATTTGACCCATCTGGGTCTCAGTTTCACTATCTGTCAGATGGACGTCCTAGCACCGCGGGCGCTGAGCAGCCTAGGCAGGTGGCTTAAGCTCTCTGAACCTCAGCTGTAAAATGGGGCCCGGTTTCTACACCTACAGGCACCTAGTGTTGTGGACAACACATACTGAGTGCTGGGTGAACGGAAACAGCTTTATACTCCAACACTGCGACGGCTTTTGAGTGCCAAGGAGCCTAGGTTTGTGGATGTGCCCGTGAGAGCAGTGGGCCATGCCAGAGACAGGAGGGAGGGGAGCAGGGCACCCCTCTCTACACACTAGAGGGGCTGGGTGGGCCTTGGGCCCCGGTAGGGTTCACTTGGGGCCAAGCCACGGCCACTAGCCCCAGGGGATAAACCCCTTGTCCCTCCTCCCACCAGCTTGGGTGGGAGGGAATGGTGGGTTCAGGGAGGGTCTGGGCCCACTTAATGGGCTTTGGAGCACTGAGATTCAGTCCAAGGAAGGCAGGGGCCCAGGAGTCTGTTCAGCAGGGTGAATCAGCTAGTAGGGTTGAGACTGCTGGGGGTGGGTTAGGGGAAGGAGTGAGCTGCAATCAGCTTCAATTTACCTCTCTGAGAAACAGGTGTGAGTGATGATGGCAGATATCATTGGAAAAGCATTGGTGAGAATCCGTGGGGAGGTGGGGAAGCTGAGGGGGGGCTCTGAGGAGGTGAGGCCTGGCCCCCACTTCTGATGCCCCTACCAGAGGGCAAATGCTCGCTACTCCCTGCCAGACGTTGCAGGCACTGGGGCTGAGCTCCTGCATCCCCCATGCCTCCTTCACAGCTCGTCTGGATGCCCCATGCCCCATCATTAGTTCTTCTTTCCTTTGAAGGCTTTTTTTTTTCTTTCCCTGGCCACACCCGCGCGGCTTGCGGGATCTTAGTGAAAGCTCGGAGACCAAATGACTGGATGGCCATGGAATCCCCTTTTTTCCTTTTTTTTTTTTTTGTTGCTTTGGGATTCCCTCTGCCCTTGGGCTGGGGGATCATCTTACCCTGATATGAATCCCAAGGCAGTAGACACTCCTTGACAGGGAGTGAAATAGGGGTTATGGAGAGAAATAATAGGCAACCCTTCTGTAGAACTTGCTATATGCACCAACTCAGTCTTTGCAACACTTTTACAACAGGCCTATGAGGGAGGGACTATTATCACGCCCATTTTTTTGGCCTCACCCTATCTTTGCTTCAAGCTGGCAGGTCATTTCCCCTCTCTAGGCCTCAGTTTCTACACCTGGAAAATGGGCTCCACCTGCCATGGGGGTGTCCAAAGGTTAAAAGGCAATGCTTGGGAGGGAAGGTAGAGTGTCAACCACTATGTACGTGACATGTCCTACATTTTATATTATTGTGAGGAGGGAACGTGCCTG